AAGGCAATATCGCGTCCAGCCTTGGGGGAAGGACCCTCGATGGAAATGTCGAATCGTTCAGACTTAGATACGACAGCCGTGAATTGGGTATAAAACAAGCCAATCTTGTATTGGAATATATTTCAGCAGGGATAAGCTGAAATTCGACGAATATTCAGCCTCCTTTCGCAGTCTGCAAACTCTACATCTCGATGCAGAAAGCGAGGGGATGCTCATAATGAGACGTGTCAGATGAAAGACATGGCGGCTCCTGCCCCTTCAGCATCGTCCTTCAACTCTCCATTAGTATTCGAGAAACGAACCCCACGATAATCAATAGAAACAAAGAGAAGTCTCCTGTGCGTTGCGTCGTGTCGTGTATCATGGTTGGGTTCTGCTTGCATCGAGATTTTCCCATCTTAAGAAAACGGTTCTACAAACTCAACGCCGAGAGAATGTCAAGAATTCGTTGGCTTGGTGCCCTGACAAATACTCCTTTCAGCTTCCTTTATATACGCGCCTGGGATTGCGGTATTCCTTCTCCTCCAGCACCGGTGACTGACTATCCACGAGGCATGGCATCAGCTATAAGAGGCCGATTCTAGCTGCTAACAAACGCATACGTGCCAGAATAAATGTTTGTTAAGAGCTATGTTGCCTGTTACGAGATAGATGCCATGCCACGTAAGTTTCGACTAAATTCATTGGCCATCTCCGTATGTGATTGGGACTTACGGGCGTGGTACCGGCGTCCTTGCCTTTGGGTATATTCCAATCACATACTCGATGTTCGGAGGGACTCCGATGAGTTTCTCCTCACCCTTCACGACGTTTGAAAGTTTCCTAAGTAGATAGTGCTGACGCTTCTATGGCGATTGCCTTGAGTGGCCTGTTTAAGTTTCCATCGCAAATTCAAAGCGGCGATTGACTTGTCTACCGTCAAACTGAGGAAGTTCGGTTTTTATGTTCAAATTTAGGTCATTTCTTTCTTGCTTGATACCATAATAAGTGCTGAGAAAAGGTTTACTATTCTGCCATTTGCAGACAATTCAGATCGACGGTGCCACGGTGGTGAGCACACATTACGTTTATATAAATGATCTCAAACACCTTGACATCATTTCAACAAGAAATGAATTTGCTAAATCTTTGGTGTCTCTAAAAGGCTTACAAAAGCTAGAATCTTGTTTCGGTGCAAGCTTTCTGAAGTAAGAATAGCATGATCGCTGTCGTAAGGTACCATCGGCACACTATGACCCCCCCCCCCCCTTTCTCTGAATTATTCATGTATGATGCACTGTAGCTCTTTCAAACAACAGAGACGTCTGCGATATCCTCGGGTGAGTCCTATGATTGTACTTGGCAAGCTCCTCGTGGTTTGTGGTGATCGCCGTTCACCGAATGGGGCCAGATCCGTTCGACCACATCGGAAGTTGTGCTCAACCTTCATTTTTCCAAGCATCTTTCATGAAGTTTTCACACAGTTTCAACCCTATGGAACCCTCGGTTCATTTCCGGCGACAGCGGCGGTTGAGACGTTGCGTCGTCATGGAAGAAGACCTGAGACTTGAAGCAGCAGGCACTGAGGCGGCATGTAGTATATAAGCCCAGATAGTTCTGTAAGTGTATAAAAATTAAGCAATAGTCGTCTTTGCCAGGTCCATGCCTTTAGGTGGTAAGGTAGCGCAGCATCTTTCCAATGGGCCATGCTTGCTGTTCAAAGCGGTTGCCTTGAAATCTTTCGTGAAGGGGGCAGCTTTCACTGTGTTTCGTCATTTTGAGTGTATTTACCGTAGTCAATGTAGTAGACAAGAGGTGAAACAAGAGTATTAGACAGATAATCCATGTCACAATTCGTACATTCCGGAAACCATGGTCACTTCCATAACGTCACGTTGAACAGGATTATGCAAAACCATCTTCGAAAGAGCTTTGCTTTATCTTTGATGGGAGGTGGTCCAAATTCCCACGCGATGGACCTGTTGACTGACTCTTTGTTATTGTTAATCGTTGTTCGCGACGTATTCGCTACATATGAGCAAACTGTTATCATATTCAAAGAAATGTAACAACACTTTTCAGCTGAGATCGGGACTGAAGCATATATTCAAGTCATTTTCATGCTTTCCTCTAACTAAAGGACATCAAGCTCAACCCATCAAACTTTACCGAAGTCAAATTGTTAAACTCAATGCTGAGTTATGTGATACCAGGGAGCTTTTATAGCTGTTCACATGAGTATGTTTCGGAATACATCAGAGTCTTGTTTTGGGATATGGACTGTCTTTAGGGGGGGTTCATGCAGATGTGATGACACTAAAGCCGTCAACGGTCAACCACTAGCATGGTGTCTAAGTTGGACAAATATCAGTCTTAACTCTGCGTACGAATCCCGGGGATTCTTCTTGCTTTATCGTTCAATGAAGAGAAGCAATGTGAGAAAGAAATGGCTGTGTCATTAAACTCAAATTGACGAATTTCCAAAAATCTAGCTCCAGTCCGGCATTCTTCACCACCTCAGCCTAACTCATGACAAATTCGCGCGGCGAAAAGAAACTTGAGCTCATGTTTGTCACTCCTTTGCAGGTTCTGAATTATGTTGAAACTCGTAGGTTATAGAGCTTTAGAATACGATTTTCACAGCGATAATTCAGCTTCTTCAAGAGTATCGTAAAACGCTGCTGCTTCACGGATCAGAATTTCCGACACAGAAAAGCTCGGCATGAGCGAAGAAAACCTTCCAACGCCAGGAGATAGGACACGGGACAATCAGGGACATAGAAAGGAAAACCCAAGCTCTGCTTTGGAAAAAGTTCGACATTTTTCATGACACCTTCCCTTAGTAGCTAAAAGCAAGACACTGAGCATTGTCCCCAACTAGATCCTCCATACTAGGTGTACTATGTAAGTTCATCTACAGAGGAGCTTCTGAGAACTAACCCAAAATTTGAGATAACTTTTCAAAACTGGACTGGGACTCGACAGGCGCAAGTTACAACAAACATCAATCTTCATAAAAGTAACACGATAAATACACAAACGGACAAAAATGAAGTTGGGAAATCAGCTTCTCAACACGAGATCTTTTGAGTTTTGTGTTTATTGAGCGAAATGCAGTGCGGAAATTGAGTCCGCTACTGACCGACCTCCGCAGCCTCAATCTTCCAATCCCCTGCCAATGAACCACCAGCGCCGGCACCAACAGACTGCAGCTTCTCTGGCTGCTGCAACAATTCTTTCGTGGTCAGTCCGGGCCAAACGGCCATCCACCTCCCTGTCATCTTTACTTTCGCGTGGCCTGCCTTCCACACATCTTTTGAAACCCTCGGCTCGCGTAGCTCGATGACATTGCTTACACTCTCACCAGGAAGCAACGTAATTAGGGACTCGGCACTTGGTGGCATCTTGCGGGTAAGTTTGACGGCGTCGATGTGGATAGACTCCGACGCCCCGGCGGGCGTGATAGACACTAGACCCAAGCCAAGGGCGGCCTCGTCCAGGGGAGAATTCCACTTCAGGATCGTCACGGGAGTGTCAGGACTAGTGTTCTTGACTGACACCGAGACGCTGGGGGCTTTCGAGGCGACGGTCTGGGAGAGGCTCAGCTGCAGATCGGGAAAGGACGACGACTCGGAGTCGACCATCGTGGGCGTTGATTGGGCCGAGAAGAAGTAAAGAGAAGTGACAACGAAAGCGCCTATAGCTAAGGCGGTTGGGAGCGATAGACGTCCCCGGCTGCGCTGCTGGGCGATCATGTGTTATAGCTCTGTCCGTGTCTGGCTGGTAACAGACTGGTATGATGCGAATGCTTTTTCTGCGGTTGGATGTTGAGTGAGTTGAGCGGCAAGATTGGTGACGGACTTTTTGGGGGCCCCTTCAACTCTAAGACTGGATATATGCAGGTAGATGAGAAAGGCAAGTTGCCAATGTAAGAAGGGAAAGTTGCCGTTGTAAGGCTAAGAAGGGAATGTTGCCATTGAAAGCGGGAAAAGTTGCCGTTGCAAGAAGGCTGTCGTATTGTTCACTCTCGCGTTACGAATCTTCAAGGGGCTGCAACTCCTTAATGATGTGTTTGTGGTTCGTTGTTGAGTAACTAACAGGCTGAGGAATACGAGAAATCCATATATGAGAGGCGTAACTTGAGGCAACTGAGCAAGCGGCAAGTTTAAGCGACGTTTGTAGAATATTTAAACTTGCGACACGTGAGGGGCAAGCTTGTGCTAATTCTTGATGGGGCCAGTCCATTTCAAAGAGACCAGTCTAGAATCTTTCGCCTTGCCATGCCTCGCTAAAGGGTAAGTCGGTAACCCCTTGAATCAACTTCTCACTCGTGCCAAGTCGGCCAAGAAAGCCAAGACACTTTCTCATTGGTGGTGCACGGCTGTGAAAACAAACAGCGAATTAGAAGACAGAATTTAAATCAACACACGGCTTCAATAACTTATTACAAACCAGGCAACGCCCCCACCATCAATCGTTGTGATCGACAATTCAGAACAACCATAGTCTTCCGTGAAGAGGGGCCGGGAACAACTTGTGACTTTCCTTTTCAATCCTCCAATATGCTTACTAGTCAGTGTTGGCCAAAGTGCCGCCTCTCTGGAATTCGAAGGCACAGATAATTGTGATTCGACCCCTGTTCCCAGATCGCTGTCCATCAGCCTCAGTTGCTCCCGACGAACGTATCGGAAAAGTTGCTGTCTTCAAGCCCCATCCCAAAATTGCTCGTTTTCAGTGGCGGAAAAAAGCATCTACACCTTGAGATTCCATTCTCCACGATACGACTCATGTTTCGGTCCAGGCTGAATGCAGCCTCACACAGCGGGGCCGGCGGGTTGCTCCTTCACGAAGATGTGAAGTAATAAAGTCGTGCTCTTCCGCTGACGAAGGAAGGATATTCTAGTCACAATTCAACAGCTGAGCTGCTACCGACCAAGTCCGGAAGATAATTCATTCATCCGCTCATTCATTCATTTATTCATTCGTTCTTACGTTCGTTTCTTCCACATCCCTTAGCCAAAATGAAGGCCGCCACTGTTGTTTCCTGCCTTGCAGCCCTTGCTAATGGCGCCGCTATCAACCTTGCTCGCCGAGATGCAAGCCCTCTTGATGTCAAGATTGAGCAGGTCGGCAACAGCGAACTGAAGGCCACCATCACCAACACCGGTAGCAGCCCTCTGCGAGTTCTCAAGACCGGTTCTATTCTCGACGACACTCCCATCGAGAGGGCTCAATTCTCGACCGCCTCTACTGACGGTGGTAAGTAGAGTTCATTACGTCTATTTTCATATAAGTCGGTTCTTTGGGTAGTCAATAGTCAACAGAGTTGCGTTCAACGGTATCCGCGTCTATGTGCGCGACACGAACCTCCCCGATTCTGCCTTCAAGACAATCGGTGCTGGTGAGAAGGTCGAGGTCCAGTGGGATCCCGCCGAGGTACACGACCTTAGCACCGGCGGCGAGTTTAATGTTTCGAGTGTCGGATCTCTCCGTTACGCTAAGGAGGGAAGCAACGACATTGCTGGCCAGATCGTCTACGATTCGGGCGTCCTCACCGCCAAGGTCGATGGAGTCAAGGCTGCTGAGGTCCACGCGGCGTTCTATCAGAGCCTGGCTGCTAAGCGTGCCAACGTCCAGAACGACTGCACCGGAAGCAAGAAGACGACCGTTTTCAAGGGCCTTGCCGAGGGCCAGAAGCTTGCCGCCGCTGCGCAGACAGCTGCCAAAGCAGGTACCCGCGTGGAGCAGTACTTCCGTTCGAAGTCGTCGGGCACCAAGGCTGCTGAGGTCCTTGGCAAGGTCGCCGACTATCTCGGCAGCTCGACTGCGGACGCCAAGATGTACTGCTCCGATGTTGGCAACTTCTGCGCCAACGCTGCTGCTTACGCTCAGGCAAGTCATATTGAACTTTGATTCCTTAATGACGCGAGTACTAACAAGCTTTCTCAGCCCGGCGTCGACGGCTACATTGTCCTTTGCGAGAACTCTTTCGAGGTCCCCGTATCTGGCGCCGGTTGCCGCGGCACGGACCTGGCTTTCCTCATGATCCACGAGGCTACTCACTTGTCTGAGATCGGTGCCACTGACGATGTTTGCTACGGATACGAGGGCTGCGTCGATACCATCAGCGCGTCTCAGTCGCTCGACAACGCGGACACGTTTGCCATGTACGCCAGCGGTATCAAGAACCGCTGCTAAATGGGCGAGGGATTACCTGTCGTCAACATGTTTTAACAAATTTCTTTGTATATCTAGCGAGTACTTGACGTATCTCTTACATAAATTGAACTAGCCTCGATGGCTGTTCGTTCTGAATACAAAATAGCCACTTCGTGAATGTTGACTTTTAGTTGTAGCCCAAAACAACTTGGAAATGGTGTCAAAGCGGCTGGATATTTAACTTATCGTTAATCTGTCCGTGAAAACCAGAATGCAGAGTTTTCCGTATGACGAGTGCCTGAAACCCTTTCCTCCGTGCCAATAAAATGAAAACCAAGATGAAAGCGCCCATGAAGATGCCAATTATTCGCCATGAAGCTTGATTCACAGCATTGGCACATTATTCATAGTGGTTGGGGCTCAGAGCGGGAATTAGGTATCGTTTCTAAAGCTACTTCCACAATCAACTGTTTTGTGAGACGACTAGTCTGCGAGCTCCGATGATGATTCGACGATGCAGGTGAAGAGACAAAAGGGGTGTGTCGGAATGAGACTACAGCAAGTGATCTCACAGGATTTGAGGTGTAGCAACAGTAGAAGAAGTCTCATCATCTAAAGGGGTTGGTCGAAGGTTGCAAAAACAGAAGTAGACACGGGGTCTGTCAACCCAAATTTGGTTCGCAACTGCTAACCAAGTTTGACGAAAGTTAGGCAGTGACCGCCCAGAAGACTCGCGTAGAACCAATACTTTAATTATTAGTACTTATCCAAATCTCAAACTAAAAGACTGAGTCAAACGAGCGTGTTCCTAGAAAGGAAAAAACCAAGTTTTGCGGTCCTGCGGTACCCAAAGCCAAAACAAAAGAAACCTAAGCCGAGGACTGCTCCCTTCAGACCGCCACGCCACCCTTATTCTGCTGCCATCCCGATCGTTGCATTGCCTTCCTTGCGTTGAGTCTTTCCTGTGCGTCGTTGATTCTCTTTTGCTCTTCGTCGAGTGCAGCTTTGTCCGCCGCATCCCTCACCGCCGCATCTGCTTTGTCTTTCTCAAGGTGGCTGTTGTACCTATCCTCGTAGTCCTGGTGTGTCTTCTTATCTTGTTCCGCGAGCTCCTGATCCTTCTTCGCATGCTCCTCTTGGCTATTCTTCAGGCTTTGAACTTCAGACAGAGCAGCCTTTAGCTTGTCATCGGCATCCTTGAGCTTTTTCTCGTATTCTCTGCGAATTTTTCCCATTTCCTTAAGGTGTTCAGCATCTTGCTTCTGATCATCCACAAAGTGCTTCTTGTCCAACTCATCATGATCACTTCGTTCCTTCTTCAAATGAGTGATCTCCTCTTGGGCCTTCTTAAGGGTGCGGGCCACAACATCAAAATCTTTCTCAGCCTTCTTGGCCTTCTCTTCAGCCTTGTTGATGGTCAGATTCTTCGATTCAATCTCAGATTGAGCTTGGTCTCTCTCCTTTTCGGCTTTCTTGAGGGCATCAGTCTTCGTTTGAACTTCATCCTTGGTGTTCTGGAGTTCCTTATGGAGTGTCTTCCGCAGCTTCTCCGAATCTTTGTTTTTGGCCTCGAGCTCTCCTTTCTCCGCCCTCAGCTTTTCCTTCTGCTTCTTCAAAAGCGCACAGTGGTCTTCGAGGTGGTCTTTCTCGTGTTCCAGTCTTCTCCTCTGCTTCTGTTCCGCTTCAAGGTTCTCGCCTACCTCGACGAGTTTGATCTTGAGAGCAGAGACTTCTGCCTTGAGATTGCTGCGCTCCCTTAGGAGGTTGTTAATCTCATCATGGTCCTTTGTGTCATGTCTTTTCATCTTCATTTCTTTGTCCTCGGCATCCTTAAGCTGCTTCCTCAATTCGTCGGCAACGCCTTCTCCGACGGCAATTTTTTGTTTCAGCATCTTGACTTCCTTATCAAGGGCACTGGCCTCTTGCTGAGCCACTTCAAGTTGCCTCTCGCTCTGGTGGAACCTTTCGTCCAGTGTTCTGAATTCCTACAGAATAGTTAAAGGCTTGGGGTTACGATTTGTGAAAAGTTGTACGTACCTGCTCCGCATACTTGGCCAGGTAACCGGCTTGATCGACAAACGCAGCGGTGTGAGTTAAAGTTTCGAGCAGGGTACGAGGGAAGGGCATCGGGGCAAGGACACGAGGGAGCGAGGGCTGAGGCTGAGGAAGCCTGAATTCGGTTTCCTCCTTGTTCGGGGTCGACTCAGGCGGGTTGAAGTCGCTGAGTCAAATCTGTCAGTTTTGCAGGTTCATGGGGGGTGTTAAAACTCACTGAGAGTGGCGATCGATCAAAGCAGCGAGGGTGAAGTCGCCAAGGTCTTTGGCGGAACTGTCCTGAGGTGACTTCATGCGGACGGAAAGCTTGCCGGTTTGCCGGTTGAAGGTGCAGTCCAAGTCGTAGTAGGAAGTGTAAGTAAATCTGACAACGTCATTGTTCTCGGTCTGAATCTTCTGGTATTCGCAACGGAGAGACGGATCCTTGGCTTTGCCAGCAGAGCTCTTCGTCCATTGCCAAAGAGACATGATGGGCCTGCCTTGGCCGAAGCCCTCAGGAGCGATGAAGGTAGCCATCTCGTTTTTGGCGAAGGTGGACCAGTTGATCTTTCCGGTCCAGACTCGGACAGTGTCATTGGCTTTGCCGCCGTGGGAGTAGGTACCCCAAACACGCTTGAGAGTTGACGAGGTCTCATAGCTTGCACAATCTGACATGGTAATCTTGATGTTCTCGTAGGCTTGCTGGCTAGTGATCTTCCACGAGAACTTCGGGTGCTTCAGAGTGAAGACATCGTCTCCCTTGTCGGTCTTGGAAACCTTGTCGATAGAGATTGTCTGAAACCAGTTGGCCTTCGGCACTCCGTATTCATCCCGCGTCCACTGGAAGAAGACATAGGCAGTGTCACCGGTGCGAACAGCTCCATTTGGCAGTATAACGATGAAAGTCTCGTCCTCGGCCACCGCCGCACCCTTCCAGTTGAGCTTGCCCAGATAGACGTACATCTTGGTGGGATTTGAGGTTGAAGCAGAGGGGTTCTTTGGGTCCTGGCTGGTTTTCGGTTTGGAAGGAGGCAAAGAAGGATGCGGAAGATGATTTCCGAGTATCTTGATGGGGATGAATGGGATGGAGATGATCTTGAAGGCGAAGTCGATGAGCATTGTATATGTGGGGGTTAATCGCAGTGTGGGTGTTTTCTCATGATACTTCGTTCAATCAGTTTGCCGGTTTCTGATCTTATACTGCAGGGTTGTGGCGTTCATTGACAGGAACTCGTTAACAGCGGGAGCTCTGGTTCAGCCTGCCACATTTTCGCTTGCCAGGAGGAGCTTGTCATATGAGATTTTGTTTTTCATTTATTGCATCTAAAAGTGCGTATCCTGTCTAGTTTGGTTCGGCCCAAGCACATTGTGTAGCTGAAGTTGCCGGAGCTGAAGTGCGAAGTTTCCTTATCCGGCAAGATATGAATTAGTTTTGTGGAAACGTCAATCCCACATTCTTCCCCGTCATATTTCAACACAGTGAAAACCGAAAACATGTCAAGCTTTTCGATCCGCGGAACAGCATCAGTCGATCCTTCCTGTCTCGGTAGACCTTAGCTGCAGAAAGACTCAGACAGAGGACATTGATTCACACTCATCTCGCGGTTTCCTACCAATCAGAATCTGAAGCTCGTAATGGGTTCAAGAATGAAGCTATTATGGCGGCTCTAGCCGACGGGCGCCGTTCTCGCATCGCTTAGCTCAAGATTGCTTGCAGGAAGAACCCAGGGCAATGGTTGTCTTACTTCCGCGTTGAGAAGACCGGCAGAAACGCCACAGAGCTGCGGGACCAGCATTTCTCTGGCCCCCGACATGACAATGTTGATTCCTGTGGAATCTTCCATGATAGATCTGCCGCGTCTTGGGGTCAATCCAAGAAACCGGATGGGCATTGATCGCCAAAAGTCAGCAGACGATGATTGAGGGTTCGTCCATTGCGTGTTTCCCTTCAACAACTTTTGATTATCTTCTTCTCTTCATACATATTCTCAACGACAGAGGTGCCAACCTGCCAGAGTCTTGCGGATGAAGCTCCTTCCAACTGTACAAATGTCGCAGAGCCCATGCCAGACGCTAAATCGCAACACGCGAGACGGAGAAAAACACCGATTAGGAATCGAGGATTGCGGGTACCAACGTTCGGGACGTCCCTAGAAGCCTCCACGCTCATTGGCGATCGGAGGGCTTCTGTGCCAAGCTGCTAGATGTCTCACATGCGATGAAGCCATACGTTCCTAACGTTTGCAGTGGCGAAATCGGAATGACGTGAGTGGGACAAGCCACCAATTGTTTTCGGCAACAGCAGTGCCCATCTTCAATCTGAAGTAGCCTCGATGGGTCGAATTCTAGGATATCAGACCCTAAAGCTGATGGGAAAATGAGGAGGAGTTTCTCGTCAACTTCAGGCAGAGCGTTGAGCGTACCTGTTCGCCGTCACCCAGCCACTGCCGTTCACATGCAGAAAAAAGAGCTACCAAGATCGCATGGAGTAATTCTGAGCGGACACAAGCCGTACACGGATTGTTACCACGGCACTCACACATGTAAATGAACTTCCTGACCAGTCATTTAATTGTTACTCACCTGTGGCACTGATCTTTTTGACTCGGCTACACGACGGCTGTTCCCTTTGTAGCCAATGCGACCCTGATGGCCACGCAAAGTTAGCGAAGGGGTATCCGATAGCTTGGTTCCCTCTTTCTCATAGATTGGACCCCCCTCCCCCCCAATGGAACAAAAACCTAAGCTTTTTGGGAGCTTCTCATCGTTTCGTCAAATATCTGCAGGTTTGCGCTCCCATCGGAGGGAGAGATAGACGTCGTTCGTGTTCATCAAGCGAGAGAATGAAGTTCGTAAGAGCGATGAAGGGGGGTTCCCCAGAGAGTTCATAGTCGCAGCGATAGAGAGCACTCTGACTACTTACAAATGGTTCTCGGTGATGCTATTGGCGTCTTGGGAGAATGAATAATCTTTTCGTCCCTTGCGTCCTCGAACGCTCTGAATTTTAAGGTTCGGCCTGAATATGAGTCACTGAAGAAGAACAACAAACATGGACAAATCGAAACGCTCTCCATAGAACATGCACCAAACTTCCTTCTCACAATCATCCACCGCAGAAATGGCGACTATCAGCAGGGAGCAAACGTACGCCGAGAATCATCCATCAACGCCCAGCACCGGTCTCATGATGACGGTATTTCATCGCGAACAACAAAACAGATTACAGAGCCGTCTCTGCGCTCTTCCTGAGGAACTTGTCCTAGAAATCATGTTCAACATGCGACTTGCCGAGCTCTATCTCACGCGTCAAGTGTCCAATCTCTTTTTCCGGCTTTGTCGGACAATGCGTTTTCGAGAACTCAACTTTTCCAAAGAAACTGACTCCCGGACCAATTATGACAATAGGTACCATTATCTTGCACATGGCAACAGATATTTCACTCAATTCCATCCAGACTACAACATCGACTACAACATCGAGTACGAATATGCCAGGAGGATTCATCCCCCTCTCCTCAGCAGCCCCCTCGAACTTCGGCAGAACATGTTTTCAAAATGGTGTAACTGTAGCGAGAAAGTTGCGTTCACTCTGCGGCGTCAAGCTCTCTGCCAGCCATGCTCGCAGCGCATCCCGGACGAACATGAGTTGGCTGAGCAGATAGCGCTCCACACGAAAGACGTCTGGTGCTCTGCTTGTGAAGAGAAGCATGCCACGATGTGGTTTTCATACACGCAGCTGCTTGAACAGTCCGAGGGCTCAAAGCGGTGTATTCTTTGGGAAGGATGTGTCCGACTATGTTCCCATCTCTCTTTCAGATGGAATGAGGTCAACGACTGGAAAAACCGTAAACGCAGTCTCCGCGATGGCGTAAGCTTTCTCGAATGCTACCAGTGCCTCGTTGGAGTCAGTGATGCACAAAATCCGGCGGTAAGGGCCTTTGCCGAGGAGACTGAGATGGAAAGTGGCAGGAAGAAAAAGCGTTACAAGATCGAAATGAGTTGGAGACTCCCCGTTCACGTTATCGAGAGCTGCTCTTCCAGGCAACACACATACGACAACATGCTTTGCCCGCATGTCACCTGGTCAGAGATCCTGAGGCATGTCGTACCAGGTCAAGTTCCGGGATCATTGGAGTGCTCTATCTGCGGCTTCCAGTATTCATGGACCAAAGCAGAGTCGGGAGAATATACGTACATCCAGGGATGGCGAATGCTTTGGAGATCGCGAAGAATTCCGGAAGATATTTATTGCTCTGATCTCCAACATGCGTCGAAATCGCTTTCGCTAGACCCAGGTTCATACCAAACACACAAAGACTTCTCAAAGCATGTCCTATGGTGCAACACCAAAGGATGTTACAACGCTCAGGGTGACTTCAGGAACATCTTGCGCAACAACAAATTCCACAAAAGATTCGTTTACCGCCCTCGATGGCCCGAGTATGTTTGGTCATCCATTTCTTTTGATTTTGGGAACATTGGCTAACTTCCATGTCTCATTGTAGCAGATGCAGTTCTTCTAACACATACTTGTGTGACGAACTACGAGTAATTTTACGAAGATGGACAAGCCGATCATCAATAACCGAACTTTGCAGCTGCGCTACTGGACCTCCGCATTTTGAATGTCCAAATTCAGACGAAAGGAAAAGTGAGGTTACTGACGAGGCGATGGGGTATGCTGCACGGTTATTAGACGAAACCGCGCAAACTTGACTGACAAGAGTTGAATTCGAAGTCAGCATTTTCTAGGAGACTGTGAGTTTCTTTGAGATTTTGCTCTACTCACATCATTCTTGGGAACGCATGTCGCATGTACCGTAGTATACCCATGGGAGCATTGAGTGTTTGTATGTTGTAAGACCTATCGAAGACCATGGCAGCTTGTGAGAATATATCATGGGCTTAGAACCTAAAGGACTTGGTTCCGGATGGGTCTTAAGCCTGAAGATGTCAGGGCTAAACAGGGTCAAGGCAGGTGTCGGGAGACCGACCTAGCTAAACATGGGAATATTCTCTTCAACTAGGGAAGGAATTTTTGAAGGAACTTTTGAACTTACCTGTGCTGGAAGCACATCGTTCGTCGAGGAACAAAGTTTGATCTCTGTGCCAGACCAACCACATTATTTTTTGTGTAGGTTCATTCATGAAAGCAGAAGCAAAAAGTCTCATACGGTAATGATAGAAAGGAAGCAACTGTGTGCGGCAACATGGCGGCCAATGTTCTACAGTCAAGGTGGTCCTGATGAACATATCAAGCCATCGAAGGGACATCCTAAATGTCGGACCCCTCTTTCTTCCTGATGGCCCTTCTAGGCGCAAACCTTCGACCCAAATCCGCATCTCGTTTGCCAGTTCCCAGGCGCCAGTTCCCAGACGCCAGCTGCCAGATGTTTCAGATGTCTTAGTACCGCTTTCGTAGACGACTCTTTCCATTTACAGGCTTTTAGAATCTTACGAAACGCCTACATGCCGATAGCTTAGATGGGCCGCCTAGGTCAAAATACTGGCCAAAACGTTTTTTTGTTATTTTCTTCCTGGTGACTGGTATTTTGAAAAGGTTTAACAGCACCCACCGCGAAGCCCTACTAATGGCCTAGCTTCTGGGAACAAACAACTGAGTGCGGATCTGAGGCTTAAACTTTACTTCTTGGCGCCTCGTCAAGTGTCTGCATTTTTCATTCCTCACCAGAGCTGAAGACACAGGTCGTTCGGGTGCACAACAGAAAATGAATCGAGAAGAGCAAGAAGGTTTCGCTGGAAAATTCGTAGGCTGGCAAAAAGGTACGCGACGCTATCCATAGCGTCTGCGGAAAATGGACGACCTTTTCGTCCTCCGACGCCATCGGAGACACAGATTTGAGTCATTGAAAGACAACAGTACAAGTAGTAAAGCATCAATAAACAGCACTCTCCAATGTGCACACCGAACATCCATTCTCGCCATATCCACCGCAAAATTGACTACCGCCAGCATGGAGGAGCTGAGCCCCACGACGGCGGTGCTCGATCGAGAGCACCAAAATAGAGTACAGAGCCGCCTCTGTGCTCTTCCCGAGGAAGTCATCGTGGAGATTATGTATCAAATGCGGGAAGCCGACCTTTATTTCGTGCGACAC